CACAGAGTCTGCTTTAAAAAAAATACATTTTACAGCAAGACATCTTTGGTGTGTGCTTTTCCCTGCTGCCTCCCTGCAGGAAACACCAACCCCAGGCAGTGTCACTGAGGCCACCCTTGAGTGGGGACATTGCCACGGCCACCGCGTGTGGCCCCAGAGCAGCAGCCCGCGACAGCACAAAGCCACCACGAAACAAAGCCACCGGGGCACAAATCCCTGCTTTTGGGGTTTGGTGACACTGGAATTGGGCATGGACCACACCAGGGAGTCCTCCCAGCACAAAGTCACCACAAAACAAAGCCACCGGGACACAAATCCCTGCTTTTGGGGTTTGGGTCACACTGGAATTGGGGCATGGACCACACCACAGAGTCCTCCCAGCACAAAGCCACCGGGGCACAAATCCCTGCTTTTTTGGGGTTTGGTGACACTGCAATTGGGGATGGACCACACCAGGGAGTCCTCCCAGCACAAAGACACCACAAAGCCACCGGGGCACAAATCCCTGCTTTTGGGGTTTTGGTCACACTGGAATTGGGGATGGACCACACCAGGGAGTCCTCCCAGCACAAAGACACCACAAATCCACCAGGACACAAATCCCTGCTTTTGGGGTTTGGGGACACTGGAATTGGGGATGGACCACACCACGGAGTCCTCCCAGCACAAAGCCACCGGGACACAAATCCCTGCTTTTGGGGTTTGGTGACACTGGAATTGGGGATGGACCACACCACGGAGTCCTCCCACTTTTAAAAAATGCAGCACACACCTCTAGGTATTAATGGTAAAACCTCTAGGTATTAATAACAGAAATATTTTGATTGTTAAACACATCTGCCCTCAGAAATCTTTTAACTTCTGAAAGTGACTGAAACTGGACGCAGTAATTCCACAACTTGGGTATCCACTAAACAGAGGGAAATGTGACCATTTTCTATGGCCTAGCAAAATGGAAAATTTATGGCAGTTATTTTTGTGGGAAAAGGAGAGTCGTTGCTACAAATCACAAGACTCCAGAATAAAAACATTCTGCATCGTGCAAAGGTCAYGTTCAAAAACAGCGTCAGGGAAAAGCGGCAAAGCACAACTCATTGTGTTTTGTTTATATTTTAGAAATAAGATTACACCTTTCACCATTTAAAAACACACRGAGGGATTTGAATAATAGCACAGAGAGAAAAGAAATACAGATGTGGTCAGATTTTTTGAGTGGTTTCTGCAGTGTTGTTAAGAGATAAATCTAAATTGTATGTCATTTTAAATATTCTGATAGTTTACAAAGGGCATTTGCTTTTTGTCAGAGAYAAAATAAGTCAAATTTATCAGAGACTGCTATTTCCAGTCTGAGTCCATCAGCTGCAGTTACTGCTGCTAAACAGAAAACTCCTTCCTACATGATTTTCTAGGGAAGAGTCAAAAATAAAATGCATTCAAATTATTTTTCATTTCCATTTTAGACATATTTTCATGTTTTCATTGACTAAATGTACAAACACACTTTTTTTTTTTTCTCTTTTTCATTTTACAAGTATTCTTTGGATTCCAAAGCAGCCACACAGGACAAACTTGCCAAGCCCAGAGTGCAATCACACTCACACCCATTCTCCAGGAGGGTAAAGGATATAACAGGGAGAAGATAAACTGTTTTTTGTACCCCTTAGTGGCTGGACATCAATGCTGCAGCTCTGAAAGCTGTCTTTCAAATAAAAAAAAAATAAAAAAAAAAATTAAAAAAAAAGATTAGGATTGCAGCTATTCATGGGAGAAGAAATATGTTAAAAGGAAGGTTTTAATGAAGAAATGGATGAAAGACTTCCAACTACAGGAGATTAACGGTTCTTATCATATAAACTCTGACTGCAAAACGCAGAGAAGGGGTGGGAGGGCACAACACTCCTCCAAAGACCTGGAAACTCTCTGACACTGAAAATGAATTCTCTGCGTTAGTGCACGGCAGAGTTTGTAAAGATTCTTTATGCACACTTTATTATGGACTCCTAAACTTAAAATAAAAAGGTGCAGATTACACCAAAGACCTAGATCTGTTGATTTAGACATTTTTAGATATTTTTAGACATTTTTAGACATTTTTAGATATTTAAGCACAGCAACCTGCAGCATCATCACTCAATTTTCTGACAGTCATGCCAGGAAACCCACCGGTGGTGGGAACACACGGGTACCTGGTCACTGCCTTTTGGCAGGAAAACCAGGAATTTTACAGAAATAAAGGCACCAATAATACCAAATACCAAGTAAAGGCTTAAATACCAAATAAAGGCTTAGTGTGGTGTTAGACAAGCCAAATCAGAAACTGAAATGCACCTAAAACCACAGGGAATCAGGCAGAAAAAAGAGGGAAGATTCCCATCTTGTATGGAACATTGATACTCATGAGCCAGCCATAAACCTGCTCGATGAGCTGAGATCCAAAAGGTAAACCAGAAACCAGAATTTTACAAAACAACATSTCTTTTATCACAGCAGATGCTGGTGACTGGAGCTGGGGGACTGCACAGGGGAAAGGCTCTCTGTGCACTAGAGAGGACAGAATTATTCATTTACAGGGAGTATTAAAAATAAAAACGCTGTTAGACAAGATCAGGTTAGGTAAGGCAGGTGCAGGGCAGTGAACAGAACAAGGAGATTTGCTCAATTCCTTTCCTTAAAGGGCAGTGGAAGCCCAGATCTCTGTTTGGGGRCTCAGAAATGAAAACAGACTCATCAAATGAGTGACACAACCGGCTGCTCTCACGGCCAGAGCACTGGTGGTGTTCCAGTTCCCTTTTTCACGGGCACCAGACACACCACAGCAGTGTCACGGGAGGGATGTGCCATGCACACCACAGGCAGCTCCAGAGCAAAGGGAAAGGAAAGGCTTCACGGGTTCTTGTGTGCTATAACCATCCCTACTGACCCTAAAATTGTAACTTACACACAGGCCCTAAAATCGTAACTTACACACAGCGTTGTTGCCAAAACACTTATTCTCTATAGAAACTCTGACATCAGAACTGTGCATATTTCAAAATATTTTAAATTAATTAGCAGGCGAATATCTGAGAGAATAATTTTGCCAATATACATATTTTTTAAATACTATTCCTTGAAATGGAAATTATTATGTTCATGTTTCAGCAGAGTCATTGATAGAATCCCAAAATCCTGGAATGGTTTTGGTTCCTTAAAGATCCCCCTGTTCCAACCCCCTGCCATAGGCAAGGATAATTGCCATTATACTAGTCACATATTACAGTCTATATGATGAAAGATGCAAGCTCAATAAATAAATCACTGTTCCTGCACATTAGGAACAGTTATGGCTTCTCTGTCCCACTATTCTGATGCTGTTTTGTTTTCCATTACACCACATACTTACAACACAATTTATTCTACGCCTCTGTCTGCACGGGGGTCACMGAGTGCTTTAGAAAATGAGCAGATGAATCAAACTTTTGTGCACCAGAGCTACTTGAATTCCACCCACCAGAATCTGGAGAAGGTTCTGGGCTACTGTTGAGAATAAAATCAAAGTAGGAGAAGAGCAGGTGTATATATGACCTTATGCGACTGTCTTTGACTTCCCACTAAAACATCTTAGAAATTGTTTATATTTATTTATATTATCTACAGTCTATGAAACAATTTTAGTTGTGAGCAGTGTGACCCATTCATACAGCGCAGGGAGATTCTGCTCCCGTTTTTGCTCTGTATTTTGCTTTTTGCCAGCATTCACAATCAGATCCATAAACAAGAAACACTACAACATTTGTCAGCAAACTGTGATGTAACTTAGAGAAATCTGCCTCTGGTACCAAACTCCCACGTTCATTTTTAACAGTTCCCCCAGAGAGCATTGGCACACCTGCAAGGCAATTCATAGAAACTTCTAAAAGATTTATAAGGAGGAAAAACGACAGAAGTTCCAAGCATGGTGTGCTTGCCGGAGCTTCTGATGTGGGGACAGAATGCTTTACACAAAAATCTGATGAGCCACAGGCTGTGCTAAGCTATGCAAAAACACACACACAGCTCCAGCAGAACATTATCAAATATTTATGGTCCTGAAATACGTGTTTCACCAAACAAGAATGAAAAGGCTGTTCCTCAGCTCTTTCCTCTCAAGCAGGGCAGCAGCAGCATGCAAACAACAGCACATAAACACAGCACTGTTTACAAAAACTGACAAAAAAAAAAACTCCACTGATATCAGCACGCAAATCAGAGCCACACAACTCCCCATTGCATCCAAAACCTCCTCACTTACACGTGCACCAAATAAAATTACAGCATACTTTTTTTTTTTAAATGTCTCTCAAAGTATAATCGACTTTACTTTACAAATAACCTTCTTTTTAAATTTCTTTCTGCAGCCTTTGCGTCATGGCTTSCCTCAGCCTGGCAGGGGACGCTGTTCCCATTAATGATTTTTGTGCTCCAGGAAACCAGAGAACAAGAAAAAAAAATACCAGCTGATCCTCCAGCAGAGTTTTCAGCTGCTGGTGACACAGTGAGTATTCCACACAATGGTTATCACAAACACCTGCCTGAACTCTGTCACACTAACCACCATGTCCACAGAATTTCTTTGCCATAATGTGGAGGAATGTTTTCCAAGACATCAGAAACCTCTCTGAATGCCCCAAATCAGCGCAGAATCCACATGAGAAGGGTCACCAACTTCAGATCAACAACCCAAATTGTCAGGCTCCTGAGGGAGCAGTCACCTGCTGAATTCAGGCAGGGAAATGCTCAGGTCTCTGCTCTGACCCTTCTATTATAACTCATCCCTGTGCTGACTTGAAATGTCTCTGGTTTGGCACTCAGCAACTTATTATACACTCTCAGGAATACAAAATACACAGCAAAGTTGAAAAGTTCACAGCACAAATCACTGTGATATTGCTTCTAAATTACTACCAGRAAAATGCTGTCTTTCCTTCCATGTGCCATGATGCTCAAGTAAGGATATTAAAATGGYACAAATAATGGCCATTTCATTTACCACAACTTTGCATGCACTGCCATGGACTCGTCTTTGCTTTCTGTTTGTCTTTCTTTTCAAGTACTGACATCAGTGTCATTGCAGAAAAACTGTAGCCCTCATACAAGAAAAAACAATGCAAGAAAAAGCACCAACCTTTGCTGGCAGGAGTGGCACAGCCCTCGAGGTTCAGCATGATGTCTCCATCCCTGTCATCAGCACCAGCTCCCAGMAGCATCCAGCTCTCCACGTTGTCACCGTCAGAGACCAAGCTGTCCTCCTCTGAGCTGTCCCCTATCACCAGCACGTCGTGGATGGCAGCAGCTCCAGCAGCACACACCGGGATGGGTCTGCCACTCGTGTTCTTCCTCTGCCTCAGTGGGCCCACACCTGATCCAGGGGGACACAGGGCATTCCCTCCAGCAGCTTTGGGGTGCTTTGGGGTGGAGGATACCAGGTGGACACGTGTTTTACCTCGAGCTGAAGAGCTTCCTGACCTCTTTGCCTTGCTTTTGTAGAAGCTGTCCTCATCTGTGTCGGACAGAACGATGATCTCAGGATCATCTGAAKGCTGAGTGCCACCAGCAGTGAATTTAGTGGGTTTCTCATCTTCATCCTGTTTCTCAGTTAGGCCTGAGCTATGACCCGTGGCTTCTGCAGCATCAGCTGCTTCACCCATTTCCAGTGTGCTGACTTCTCCAAGATTCTGGGAATAGTGGATCTGGCTGTAGAGCTGAAACTCCACCTCACTATCAACACTCTCCTCACTGGATGACTCCTCGGGATAAAGTTCATCTTCGTACATGTCGGTATTCTCACCACCATCATACCCAGAAAACATCCTGGAAAGTGAAGAGTCTGCAAAAAAAATCAAATGGTTCTGTCAGAATGGTCACATGTCCAAAACAAACCTTCAAATAGCACCATTGGTCTTCCTGAAATTGCTCAGCTGAGTTGTGGAACTCTGCACACAGAACATCAAACTGAGGGGATTTCACAGCTATCTGTGCTCAAATCTGGAGCACAAGCTAATTAAGGATGCATTTGCATTAACCATAACTATGCAGATCAACTCTTTGGGGTTCTGAAAGTGGCATTTAATGAGTTCTCCTGTCCCACATGAAGGATGTCATCTGGACACAGATGGAGTGCTGTGCACACCGTGGACTCTCCAGAACTGCAGTAGGTACAGCAAAGGACCACTAAAACCATTGGGAAATTGCAGCATCTACTACAGAAATTCAGGCTGAAGATGGGACTGAGGCTCCACCCGAAAAGAAATCTCGGGGATTTATCCAAAATCAAAAACACCTGGGACAGGGAGAGGAAATGAGACCGAACCGCACCAAACAGAGTAGAGTCCAGCAACAGCGTGAAAGAACATGGACACAAAATAAACAAATACAGGGAATTTAGCTTAAAGATAACTCTGTTGMAGAGAAAGGCTCCTCCTCCATTCTGGGAGACCATCAAACCTCAGCTGGACACAACCCCRAGTGAATTGAGTCAGGTCTGAAATTGTGAGAGGCTCTTT